CAATTAGGATTTCGACCAGGACCACCGTAATAAAAATATAATCTCCAAACATCATGATTGCCAGGAATGACGTTGTAATAATTCTCTTTCGTCATAAATAAAGAAGCAGTTCCTGTTGGTGGTCTTAGAATATTGTTCTCATCAACTATCTCAAGATTTCTGAAATAAGTAGCTTTTTCCATCTTTCTTGTGCAAAATGTCCACTCCCCATAATCGTCGTTATGTGTTGTAAACTATCCTTAGGACATACGATTTCGCCTCCTCATTGAATTTCAGTCATATTATTTTCTAGATGGTTGAACAATGTAAAAGGTCAATATCCGACAATTATACTGATGGTGTTAAAAACTTCATAGATAGGTATATACCCTACATCTACAATATATATAATTATATACAATTACGATTTCGACCAGGACCACCATAATAAAAATATAATCCCCAAACATCATGACTGCCAGAAACAACATTGTAACAATTCTCTTTAGTCATATATAGATAAGCAGTTCCCGTTGGTGGTCTTAGAATATTGTTATCATCAACTATCTCAAGATTTCTGAAATAACTAGCTTTTTTCCATCCTTCTTGTGCATAATTTCCACTCCCCATTTGCGTCGTTGTGTGTAGTAAACTATTCTTAGGATATATGATTTCGCCTCCCCATTGAACTTCAGTCGCACTGTTTTCTAGATGGTTGAACAATGTGGAAGGCCAATACCCAACAATTATATGATTATTAACTCTTAACCACCAGTGTCCTGAATGAGGATCCTATAGGAGTTAAACACAATCATTCTCATAATTTTAGAAAACATAAGAGAGTAATTGTTGAAGATATATGATGAAAATTGTCCAGAATTATATATATTGACCTTCCATATAGTTGTGGAAAATTGCGCTTGTTGACCACCTAAGGTGGAAACGGCATGAACGGCTGCACCTAGAGCAAATTCTTGGTTGACAGGAACAAAACCGTCACATTCAAGATTATAGCAGCCTGTTTCATTGTACCCATCTTTCTGTTTGTATGTTACAAAACCACACACACAAAAAATGTTATCTGTAAGTACATACCCCAACAATAATGTAATAAAAACATATCACAACCAATACTATACAATTAACTCACAGTCCAGTAAACAAAATATCTAGGGTTTGCATCACCATATTTACCTTCATACACCTGATTAATAACATTAGAAAAAAAAGATAAGAATAA